ATATATATATATATATATATATATATATATATATATATATTATATCTCTAATTTGTTTTGCTGCGCGAGTGAATGATTCTTGCTTCAAAGACCACTTTTGGATAATGTCATCATAAATCTGGTAAACTTACTTTCCCTTTGTCAATTTGTTGTAGGTCATCTGTTGGCTATATAGGGTTATTCTGTGATATCCTCGTGACTGCGGTGTTCAACCTGTCTGGTGTTCATCGCATGGTGTGTAAAAAAAATGATCTGACCACAAGTAGCTTTTGGTCACAGTTCCTCAGAAATTTGATTTGCATCAGCAATTCTTATATGGCATCCATGCGTTGTGATCGGCCCTCCAATGCACAACTTCTCATCAAGTTTGGAAACGGTAGCCTACTTTAGGCGGAATTCTTTAGGGTCGTTTCACCGTGCCGCGCCAACTTATCGCCTACCACTGATGCCAACTTTCAAGATCCAGTCTAGTTAGCTCAAGTGACTGTTCGGGACCAAGGCTCAGTAACAGTGTTGATGTTTTTCGAAAGAACTGTGCTGTGCGTTCAGGACTTTTCACTTCCAACCGTGGATCTCAAACTATTTCACTCTAATCAATTACAGATACTAAAACTATCCGACTTAGGTTCACAAGATCTTGGTAGTACTATGAGAAATGGATGGTTGTTGTTATCATTGGTTTTTTTCTACAGTTCCCGTTTTCCATTCTACCAGTTTTTGTATACATTTAATTTTCATCCTCTTACTGATATTACTACCAAGTTTATTCGCTGCCGCACAATGAAGGATGTAAAATTCACTGTCACGCATGATTGTGAATTCTGTTCTACGGTCTTGGACATCTGTCTTTATTATCTGCAATTTTCGCATTTCTTTCTCCTTGCTCCTCAACAGCCCCGTGAGGAGGGTTGGTGGTTGGTGATTGGCGAGCAAAAGACCAATTCATTAGTGGCCATCAAACGTCTGCTGGTTTCTCAGTCTATGAAGATCAAACTAGACTTGACTGCACCCACCCACTCAGGACGTCACGAGTTCACTCTGTTCTTCATGTCCGATGCATATATGGGTTGTGATCAGGAGTACAAATTCAATGTGGATGTCCGCGAAGGAGCCGGTGGCCGATCGCACGCGGATTAGACACTCCGGGACTAATGGTCGCAGGATACCCGGTTTCCTCATCAGGTGTTCTTGTTCATATCCACGTTCGTCCACCCGGGTATGAAATAATCAGCCCGATGACCAGACTTTGCAGTGTTTTTTCTCAGTCTACAATTCAGCCCAACCGAAACTCATGTGCTGTACATCTCCCNCCCCCCCCCCCCCCCCATCCTTGTACACGTTCATATATCTTGTTTTCCAACTTCGATTCCGCTTTGTTCTCCTTTGGTCCTCCGTGCTGAATCACCGCAGAAGGGATGCGCAAAACCGTCCGAGTGGGTTATTCTGATTGAAATCGCCTTATTCGCGCACTTATTCGGAAATAAGTAATGGGTTCTAAGGCACGGTTAATTTTTTAGCGCGGTCCTTTATCCTAGATAACAAGCATGCATGAACTCAAACACCGCCGGGTGGTAATGTAACTTGACTGTCACAAGTTGAAGAAATGGATGTAGTGACCTCGTTTTCACTGTTTGGTGCTACTGTTCTGTAGACTCGGGCAACTCTGACGTGATTCCAGATTGTGTCATCTCTTCGGCACGTGTCAAGACCGATAGCATTGGTCCGAGTCAACCTCCGACTTTAGAGATTATTCATCCACTTAGATCACATCCTAAGACGGGATCAATCAAAGCATATCTCCGTCGACCACAGACCCGAGTTGTTTGAGTGGTGCCCAGGTCCAGTCACTGTGATGAATAGGTATTCTCATGTGCCAAATACCTGTTTGTGAGCCTTTAACAAATTTGGGTGGTAAAAATTTGCGGACTAATTCGTAGGTAAATTCGAATAATGATTATTGGTTCACGGTGCAGTGCTCCAAAGCTATATTTCTAATCACTTTGTACTACTTGGTAGTATTTTAACCAGGTATACACTGACTTTTCGTAGAGCATTGTTCACGGACGCTGTTGACTGGATTCCATATCTAACTTGATACTATCTTTTAAAGAAGTAATCTCTTTAGCATTTAACAAGTAATTGGGACACCCGAATGACCTTGCTCCTTGTTCAGTGGGGGGATAGAGCATATAGTCAAGCTGACCAGTAATCCAGAAAGGTAGTGCACTTGGATTTGTCATTGGCGAGTGGCAAAGGGAATAAACCATATTGGAGATGGCCCCCGAGGTCAAGCAGTTTTTTCTTGAATGCAAACCCGTGAACATCATCGTGTGTGAAGGAAAGCTAACTTAGTAATGGTTGGTCAGGGATTCTGCACCAAGTCTGAAAGGCGTGAGACAGTATATATGGACCTTAAGCGAACGCACATGTCTAGACCCTACTGAAAGAAATCTGCGTAGACGTGGAACTCTGGACTGAGTAACCGGGGCAGGGAGGGGGTGGAGACGAGGCAAGAATGAATGCAGTGTTCAATTGGTTAGTGCCTATAGACGAACTGAAAATTATATTTATTTGACGGTGGAGTCCAGCGCTGTGAAGAGGGTGGCGGTTTCCATGTAGGGCAAAGTCGTTTCTTGTGCGAGAAGTTGACGCTTGCCAGGAACAATCTGGTTCGAACACAGTTGAAGTAGGATACCTCCGTTTTCTGTCCGGTTCGCGGGCAATGCACGTGGTCCGCCAAGAAGCCTTTCTGATTCGTCCAGGTTTCCTACTTGAGCATTGAAGTCTACGACGTCCGTTGGTCGAACACTTTGGAGTAATTGAGAAAGATCCTTGTAGAATTCATCCTTAATTTCAAGTGGACTGCAGTCGGTCGGTGCATACAACAACAGGGCGAATATGCGTCGAGGTTTCGTTTTGTAGCTATTCGCTCCTACTGGACCGTTAAGACCTACAGCCCACAGTCGACTACTAACTGGAATCCAATTAAGAAGCAAGCCCTCAGCCTTAGCACAGCGCAATCCCAACACCGCGAGCTTTAGATGCCGAATTGCCTGACACACGACGGGTGAAGCGTGAGGTTGAAGTTGGATTAGGAGAACACAGGGAGATAATTGAAGTATGTGTTTCGAAGACAGCGTACGTCTGAATTGAAAGTTAAAATGATTCTATCCAGGGCAGCTTGTTGGCCAATCTGATGGAGTGTGCGGATATTAAATGCGATCAAGTGGAAAGGAAATTTCGGCTTCAAAAGTCTGATACATTAACGATCACGCGTTCTGGATAATTGATTTGCATAGAGATTGCATGTTACGGTAGGGTAAAATGTTTATCCTTTGCTAATAAATCGTAGGTCTAACGAGGATCAAATTAAGAGGAGTTTGGAATGATTAGCGAAGATGCGGTCACTTGCCCAGTTAAATTATATATGCTAGACAACTAGGTAGACAGAAAATAGGAGACGGCACCTAACAGTATTTCGAATGGTTGTTTAGCGATCGATGTCGTTTTGAATTAAAGTTCCAACTTGGAGCTTATCTAGCTGCTAATCCCTCCGCCGCGTTCTCTGTCCTGTTTGAAACAAGTGAACTTGAAACATTTGGATCCCATAATGAATAGTATACGAAAGGAATTCCTCTCGCAGTGTTTGTCTTCTGACTTGGCAAGTGAATTTGTTCATAGTAGCATCCTGGAGGCAGTAATTGTAAGGTTCAATCAATCGGAACAGATCACGGGGCGTCCCAAAATAGTTGACTATTGTTAACCATAACTATCGATATCATCATCTCGCTGGGGGCTCTGTGAGGTTGACTTGTAACCCTTTATTGGAACAATGGATCACGAAATTCTTTTGATGTGTAAAATCTTTAATTTGCTAGAAAGAAAACAACAGTACTGAGCAGGGGGAGGAATATCGATGTGCTCTATAAGTTGGTTTGTTCGTTACTCATATGGAAGAGCGGTGATAGCAGATCCCGGACCACGATACTGCCAGTATCGTTAATTCCATTGCCAGTCAGATGCTGAAATAAATAATATCTGTTTTGTATGGTGAATGGTTGCCTACCAAATTGTGCATGAACTGGACAAGCCGTTACACCAGAATAATAAATCCTTCTAAGTATTCAAAGTAAGCGGATCACCCATCGAACTTAACTTTCTGGCGTTGCGTATCCGAAACCCGAGGAGAACATCAAACTAAGTATTTTCTTGTGTGGTTCTCGCGAATTCGCATATAGCAGGCATGCGATTGTTGTTCCTTAAAGACAACTGTATTCTTTCTAGAGGAATTTGCTCAGATTATTTACCTCCAATAGTGGACACCACAGAAGGAGCACAGTATTAGTAGATACTTCTTATAAGACGATCGTGTAAAGAGAACAGTTACTCATACGGCTTTTTTAGGACAATTTTAAAAGTTAACTGTTGTCGCGCGTCCAGAAAAGCACTCGCTCTCTCATTCACAGGTGCTGCAGTGGGTATTTCAATGCTAACTCAAGTGACCAAACAACTGAAAATACACTAACTTTGCACATTTACGTTCTTCGTACATCAGACGGCGACGAAACCTGTTCGGTAGGATAGCGCGAGGTAGGTATTGTACTCGGTAACAGAGCGTAGTCCTCTTTTATCGTTTGGATTCTCGTCAACAGTCGCCTATGTGCGATGCGGTTCCAAGGGTCTATTAGCGTCCGGAAGGGAACACCAAAAGGTGGTTGTACATCGTTTCGGCATATGCACCGACCAATTGCAGTTCTGATACCCAAAAGGACAATTTATACGATGAACTCACCGGTCTCATTCGGATGAGTCAAAGCTCCGATGTAGTTGTACTTTTAGATGACTTCAACGCGCAGGTTGGAAAACTGGGCGCATCAGAAGCTTCCCTGGGCGGTAGTTGTGCTCCGCTCTGTCAGCGAACAGATAACGGTGATTGAATTCTTCAGTTCATCATCATCATTTGTTCCTGTTAAGAACGGATTTCCGACACAGCTCTCGACAGACGGCAACGTGGCGCTCTAGTTCAACTGCTACGCTAACTCAAATCGACCACATAGCAGTAGGCTACGATTAGTGTGGCTAAGTGCAAAAGTTCAGGTCCTATTTGACCACCTGCGTTGAGTCTGACCACCCATTAGGTTTGATGTAATTCACTCTCGGTGTCACTAACGGTCGACAAAACCAGCAAACTCGATTAGCTGACCATCACCTGTTTGTCCGAGCAGTGCGTGCACGCCAAGAGTCAGAGNGATGAGCAGTGGGATCAAATTAGGCGAGCAATGCATTCCGCAGCCAATGCTGCTTGTGGGTTTGAGCCTCGAACCAGTCGGAAGCATTGGATATCTCAGGAGTCAGTTGCCCTGGTGGAGAAAAAACAACATATCCCGACCTGCCAGGATCAAAATAGAGTTAGGTGCCATCTACAACGTCAGCTCACGAAGAGCTCCAAAAAGGACTGTGAGAAATGGTGGGCAATAATAGCTAGTGAAATGGAAGTAGTAGCTACATCAGGGAATTGTCAAAGGCTGTTCCGACTGATACGCAATACTGGAGGTCGGCGAACTTCAGTTAATGAAACAGTCAACGATAAGATG